CCTGATATGGTTAATATTAGTTCTGGTATTTAATATTTAACCAGTTAGAAGTATCTTAGTTTTATAACTCAGAACTGTATGCCATTATAATGTTCAGGTTGTCACATTTCTTTCCTTGACCTAAGACTACTTTTTGCACTTAACCAGTTAGAAGTATCTTAGTTTTATAACTCAGAACTGTATGCCATTGTAATGTTCAGGTTGTTACATTTCTTTCCTTGACCTAAGACTAGTTCTTGCACCTAACCAGGTAGAAGTATCTTACTGTTATAACTCAGACTCAGAACTGTATGCCATTATCCTGCCTACACATCATTGTAAAAAATATATGTACATATTTGTAATTGTTAGAAGTGTATGCATGTTGTGTTTATATGTAACACAGATATCTCCTAAACTATGTATGTTTATTAATCAGTATCTGCAGGTTTGGGAAAAAATCAAAATCTAGATAAAAATTATGTAAAAGTCTTAGTGTTTTATTTCATTTTCTTTTATTGAAATGTACAAAAAACTCAAACTGGCTTCATGTTAAGTTTACATAAAATGACCTGTTTATAAGATTATTGACCAAACTTGTTTGAATAATGTAATTAAAAATCGTAAATATTTCAATAACTAATAAAGTTTAAAATCATGTGAATAACTATGAAAAGATCTTGGTTTTGATCTCATATGTATAACTTTTTCTAAATAAAAAAATGTACACTGAGTAATCTTTTTTTTTTTTAGAGCAATCAGAAGAATATAATAAAGGATAGTAAAAATCTGAGGTGTAAAAAAGTTTTATTTAAATTCAAGAGAACTTGGTGACCGATATAAAAAAAAGTGAAAAATGATATTATGTTTACAAAAAACAAACAATACTTTAATTGTATCAAAAGCATACAAATTTTTAGGCAAATATTTTTACAAGAAAACAAAATATATCCCAAGAAACTCACAACACATAAATAACAAAAACACCAACAACGTGACACTTCTGTACTGTTTTATTTAAAAAAAATAAAGTATCGCATCCCAGACGTGTTATTCGATAACTTGCCTTTCATTAAAAACCAGATCTCACATTTTTTTATGCAAGAACACACATTAAAAACGTTTAAAGTTAAGGTTTATTCTTTAAGCATTAAAAATATTATACAGCAAAGTCATTGTCTTTTAGTACTATGACTGTTTATTAAATTTGATTAACTATATTTACACTCGCAGTGTCATATAATTCATTTCCACCGTAGCTCTCTTTTTCAACAAAGGTATGATAATATTTTTGAAAATTCACACAAGTATCTTAAATCATGATTAAATAACTTTATTTGCAGAAAGGAAGAACAATGACATTGAAAAAACTTGCTAGAAACTGTCGCAAAGTTCATGAAAACATTTTGAAGCATAAGGTTTGATTCTTTCCTAGAAAACTAGTATTACTGGTAATTACAAGTGTTGAAAAAACATAAGATTCTAAACTTCAAAAGAAAAGACTTTTATTTTTTGTAGGATCACACATTTTACAGCTCTATGTGAATATGGACCTTTTATTCACAAAATCCGTTAAATAACTGATCGTCTAAAATAAGATAGATATTAACATTAAGGTCCCAACTGAAAAATTGTGACAAACACTAAATAAGTAGGTGATTCACACTATATTAAAGCAGTTGAAATACAATGAAGCAAAGAAATCAAACTTGGAAAATCTTGTAGACATAATGACTAAAATATTGTGTTCACGCAATGTATTTTATTATTGAAAACATTTTAATGTAAAGCTTATCATGAAATTTGAAAGAATAAGAAAAAGACCGGGAAATTTTTGCTCTCAAGAAAATGAAGAAACAAATTAACAGTATATATATATATATATAAACACTATTTTTACAATACCATAACATTTAAAAATGGTTATTAAAATTTGTAAGCATAATAGTAAGATCATTAAACGTTGACAAAGAGAACAGTTCCATCAATGAACTATGAAAATAAATATGCACATTCTTTAAAAATGAGTATTCATGTACCAAATCAACATAAAGACAATAAATTCTTATCACCTCACAATTGATTTGTTAATACAGTATTCTTTCATTTACTAATTTTCTCACAGAAACTTGATTTACCACTAAAGAAACACAGCTTCTGGGGTGGAAAGTGTATTTTGAGTTTGGTGGTGAGGATGTTGGTGTTCCACAGGCTGTAAGATATTCATATTTACTGGGCTACAGATGCCTTCAGACCAGTCACTTTGAGCTGAATGAGGGGAAGTGCTTGACCACTGACCGGGTGATTCAGGAGAGGGGGTTAAGTAAGTCTCTGGGTGATGTAGATAATGTTGAGGAGTGGCCTCTGAGCCACCATAACTATGTTGAGATGGAGGGGTTGGAAACTGAAATGGGTGGCTATAAGGCACTTGTTGCTGGCCAGTTGCAGGGTCTGGTGGGTTTGATTTCTGACCACTGGAACCCAACACCTGCCGAATGTCAGTCATGATGTAGTCATAGATATGGTTGGCACTCTGCTGAGGTTGAATATGTGCATTTTTCTGTTGATGGGCAGTCCTCATGGCTGCCATGTGGGTGGGAGAGGTTGGGAGTAATGGTCGTTGCTTGATTGAAGGAGAACCAGTGTAGTTATGAGTTGACTGTACCTGTGATACGGTCAGGCTACTGGGCATAGAATTCTGTCGTTGAAGGTGAGATGTGACACCCTGCACTGTCTGCACATGTGGCACTGTTCCATCATTCATATATATCAACTGACCAGCCATTCCACCCACAGACTCATATATCTGTGGATTTATACATTCATTGTAGGAAGTTTGTTGTTTTGTGGCTGAGTTGTCTAAACCTGCTAGATTTGGGTGAGACAGTGCTAAGCTCTGTCCATCATCAAATGCTGGATGTAGGCCATTGAAAGGGTGCGAATCGAAAGTGTTCAAACAGTGCAAGTTGGGCTGCCCTTCTGTTCCTTGCTTCTTCAAGGACACTTTTCTTCTTATTTCTCTCTCACTATTCTGGGAAGAATGATCTCCATTTTGCATGGCCATTCCAACCATACTGTTGACTTTTGACCTTTTCTTAGCTTTAGTAGACCTGGTGGAACCAATGACCGTGGGTGGGGGAACCATAGATGTAGAGCTAGTAGGTACATGAGACGTCAGAGGACCCTGGGGTACGTACTCATCCAATAATCTCACAATATCATGATGCACACGCTCCAGAGCTACATCTCTTGGCAAACGATCCATGTGGTCGGTGATGTCTCGATTAGCAAAGTGTTCTAAGAGCACTCTGGCAGCTTCATAACTTCCTTCTCTGGCTGCTAGGAAGAGAGGTGTCTCTTCTTTGGTATCCTGGACATCTCTGTTTGCTCCGTGGGCCAGCAACACTCGGACAGCATCCACATTGTTTACTGCTGCCGCCCAGTGCAGTGCTGTTTTTCCTGAAGTATGAAATGTTTGTTAGAAGCACATTAATATAATTTTAGTAGTAGTAGTGGAAAGTATAAAGAACTTTGATACAAGATTAAGATTCATATATACTTTTTAATTACTTTCAATATTCCCTTCCATCCAACCATCTATACTGAACATGAATTAATAACAGTTAAAGAAAATGATAAAGTATTGTATGTTTACTTTGTATTTTATATAAATTAATGTTTGAAATTATCTGAATAAAAAGACATACTCTGATGACCTCTCACTAGAGCCATTATTTAACCCAAAAATTTACAGTAATGATTTAAGACATTATCTCTCAGCCAGATATCCCACTTTACAAGTCTGATACAGATCTGTAACATGATATAACAATGTCAAATAATACTTCCACAATTAAAACCATAGAAGGGAAGAAACACCAAATACAAATCTCTTCTTGAACGCCTTTAGGCTATGTAAAAGTTGGGCCAAATGCATCAGATCTAAACTATTAAGTGCAGGCCAACTTTTCTCTATTATTACCATTAAAATATGTATAAATGACTGCTTTTTTATGTAAGATATGAAATAATAATCCTGGTAGTTACTATGATACTTTGATTGTTATCAGTGACATAAGAATTACAAAAAACCTTTCAACTGACCAAGGTCATCAGCAGCATTTATGTCAGCTTCGGCATTTATTAAGTCTTCCACCATTCCTTCTATTGCCAGCCTCGAGGCTAGAATTAGTGGCGTTGATCCATCATGCATTCGAGCATTCAAGTTTGTGGCTCTGTTTCTCAACAGGATCTGAACAGTAAAAGAAGTAAAAATAAGACAATGGAATGATAAAAGGACTTAAAACATGACACAATACCTTGTCGTTTTCTTCCAAAAAAGTGCATTTTTGCATGACAACACACTCTGATCAGTTTGAAAAAAAACTTAACCTGTAGTTCTTGTTTTTTCCTAAAATTATTTTTACAAAGAAAAACAAGTTTTAAAAATACATTATATGACAATAATAATGATATTTTTGAATTGAAACTAAGTCTGGATTGGACATCGTAGATAAATAGCATGGTGTTAAATGTCAGTAAATAACAAAGGAAACGTTTTTTTATCACCAAACTCTTATTTAGAAGGAAATCAGACTTTACTTTTTCCCCAAAATTATCCTAATTTTTATTATTTGTATTTTTCTTTCAGTGAGGCTAAATTTGGGATAATGTTTACACAAATCTTACCTGGAAGACTCCCTGTGCATCAGCAGATATGGATGCATGTAAAGGAGTTCGACCAGTGTTGTCCTGAGAGTTAGCATCAGCACCTGCATCTAACAGTCTTTTAGCAGCATCCGCTCTTGCATATCTTGCAGCCAAGTGAAGAGATGTCTCACCTAGTTCAAATGTTCATAATTAATGGAATTAGTCTTAATAACAGAAACCTGAAAAAATTCTTAAGTTAAAAGAATTAGAAAATCATTTATGAAAAACGTGAAAAATTATTTATAAAGAATAAAAAAAGCAATTCTGAACACAGAAATGTTCTTTAACTGACAGAAACCTAATTATTAATCTCAATAAAATATTTGATAAAAAAAAGGACGTAACAAATATTCTCTGCAATGAACAGAGGTGTTTAAAGCAAAATACATATCATGAATTAGGGAGTGAGAAGTCATAAGCATATTTCTCCTAAGAAAAGTTTAACAATTAAAGTAGAAACTTGGACACATTGTACTGCAAATGTGGGTCAAGATATCATGAAAAAAAACAACACATCAAAAAAGTAATGTGAAAATAAGCAACTCAATGACCAACATACATTATTGTTATTTTTTACATTAAGGTCTCTATCTTATTATATATATTCAAATTATCTTCTGCTACCAAATTCACTTTGGATTCTTTACCCGTTTATAATAACCCATTATTTTGGACCAAAAACTCAGTTCAAATCAGCAATCATAAACTTATACAAGTTTATGGGGTTTTTGTATTTAATTGTAAACAAACAATGTATCAATCACCGATATAGAAGGGTTGTGTTTAACTGTAAAAGAAAATGATTCAGTAATGGATATTTCTTTTATTTTCTTAACAATGCATATTCTATTTTTAAATATTCATTACTTTTGCCATCTCTATCTTTTACTTTGTTTTTGTGATAGAATTAGTTAAGTAATCCATGTCATTCCATTTTAAATTTAGGTTTTCCAAAACGACTTTTTTTTACAATGTATATCAATTTATGAAAATTTAATTATCTATGCAGCAAGTTAGAATACATACATAAAAGTGTGACCAAATATATTTTATAAAAATTATAAATATCATGTGATATAAACACAAATTTATTACCAATTAGTTAAACGCTCCAGTAAAACTTTGTTTCCCTCCTTAAGAAGGATTTTTGGGAGGTAATTAAAACAAATTATTCAATCTAACTAATAACTCACCTGTTCGTTCTGTTATCATGTTGATCTTGGCACCTTGTGAGAGAAGGTCCTGAATCATGCTGACAGATCCATCATCTTCCTCTACATCTTCTCCTGTATCCAAACCACCTCCTCGAAAAGATGCTAACATCAGAGGTGTAAGACCTCCTAGAAGAGTTTAAGTATACAAAATCATCATACATGAAATTACAAGGTTAAAGCATAAGGTGAAATACCTATACAATAAAATTATTAATATCTTTAAAATTAATGAATGACAAAACTTAATTTATCATGAAGTACAATAATCTTCATTAGAATTGTAGTTGGTTGAAAATCACAAGTTCTTTAACTTGATAAAAAAAACCCTTTTTGATAAATACCACTCACCTGGACCTCTGACATCAACATTTCCTGGTTCTAGTTCACTGTCTCCATGTGGAGGTGAAAAAGCAAGAATATCAGGATTGCGAACATCTGCCGCATCAAGATGCTGCTGAGTCCAAGGTCGGGGGTCATTATCGTCGTAATCGGTTGTTGTCATTACAGTGTGAGTGTCTCCAAAACTAGGATCTGGTGAATGATCACTTTTGGTTCTCTTTACAGGAGGATGATCACCCATGTCATCATCACTCCACCCACCAATGTCGGAAGGTATGCCACTGTTATCATTGGCATCCATTCTTTGAGCAGACATTTGTTTGTGGATGTTTCTAAAATTACAAGAATATAACCTTAACAGCTTTCCAAAAACATGTTTTACTTGCAAGTTATGCCGTATATTAATTTTGATGCACCTCTACATTACTATGATAGATGTACCTTTTTATAAACAAATACTATGTATATATATAGTATCCATGTATACATTATATACATGTATGTATCACTAACAATAACTTAGTTAAGTTATGATCTTATATTCCATGTCGATCTCAAATATGCCTGCCATACCTCATTTCTTGTCCATCTGGGCCTCGACGTCGTGCCTGTTGCTTCTGGACACTATTGTTTCTGAAAAATCCTTCTGGAAACCAGGTAACACCCCGTGCACGCTTCCTCTGAGTGGTAACTAACACCCCAAGAAGTAATCCTAGCAAGATTATCACTATCACTCCAATCACAATGTACACCATATTTGGGTAAGTGACTTCAGGACCATGGAGTTCTTCCAATTCATCTGTGCTTTGGATCTTTTCAATGTGAAAAGCTGTATCCAGGGAATGTCGAGAACGGGATGCAGCAAGAAACCGAGCAGCCTGTGAAGTTTCAAAATTTATCAACAATTAAATCACCTTATTTATCATTAAAACACAAATGTTCCCAATTTTCATGTTAATACAATTCAACCAAATCAACACCACTTTAGCCTGTAATCTGGTTATAAAAACTTCAGATCATAATTACTTCAGACTAATGTACTATAGAAAACTAGTTTCAAACAAGCTTGATGATATACAGTAAAATGTTGCATTTTTATTTATAAAGGAATATCTGAGCCAACTGATCATAAACTACAAAGAATTAGAGAATTATCGCCACATAAACTAGCAGAATGAATGAACAAGATTATGTTAAAATATTTTATTAACTTATGTGCAGATTCTGAGATTTAAAAAAAGGGGAAAAACAAAATTTTGACTTTTACAGGTTTTAGAATAATTTTGTAAATTTTCCCTGACTTTAAGGTTTGTGTCCACTCTGATTTATGAGAAAATGTTATTCAGAACTTTGATTTTCTAGCAGTCTAACAGTTCTTACTTCTACTGCCAGCTAAACAATTATCACTGTACACTTTCCTTATGCTGTCTACAAAATATATTCATAATAAACCAAGTCCTACTTCTACTAATGACTGAAAACATTCACACTACATACAAAAAGCATTTTACTAAAAACTGATGTGAATTTTACCTCGGCTGCTGACTGGAAACATTCACTGTACACTGACTTGAGACACTGTCTGTTATCAATTTCCAGATGAACATCAATCCTGTTGTGAGAAAATGCCAAAAAAATAGTTTCAGAGCTCTCCTCAAGCAATCTCTATTTAACAAGAATTTATCAGTTGCACAGCAAAATTTATTATATGAGAAACAGTACAATAGAAATTAAAGCAGTATTAAAAAGGCATGTTCAAGATTCGGTTGTATAGGATAGTGATAAAAGGTATTGTAGTTGAGACCTGTGTCCAAGACCTTAGGGGTAAAGATCAAGACGAGACCTTGTAATAAATCACACAATGAAAAATAAAACAAGAAGAATAAAAATAACATTTCAAACAAACTTTATTAACATCTTAACCTCAAATCTTTTACATTTTAACCCCACAGTCTATGTTTTAACATCTCCTCCTATGAACACAAAAAAAAAAATGAATGAATTAAAGAAATAAAGAAGGTCAGCAAATAAAACAGAAGAGATAGAAAAACTATTGTTGTTTTTCAAGAGTTTATGGTATCAGTGAATTCTTTATGATCTTTGAAGCTGAACAGGATCACAGCAGATCTACCATATTTGCCTGAATATAATGCACACCCAATTTTGAAAGGTTAAATTGAGCAAAATTTGTGTTTTTTACATATCAGTTAAACAAAATGTATTGAATAATTTCTAAATACAGTAAACAACTATTGATGTATTAAACATTTGTGTAAATCTTTCATTGAAAGTTTTTTTAAGTGTCAATTTCACAAAATTTATTAAAAAGTTTATATGTGATAATACACTAAGCTAATCATTCATCTTCACATAAATCTTTATCATCGCTAGAAATGTCACTACCACTGGATTTGTCGGATTTGCTTTCTTGAACCTTTGCTTCATCCTCTTCTGATTCCCACAGCATGTCATCCATTGCATCGAATATCCAACATTTTTTGAAACCTTTAATGATGCTTTAATGATTTTTGGTGGTAGCTCTAGTAAAGTACCAAACAAGAATAAACATAATGTGCAGTAAATTTTTTGGGAGGTATTTGGAGGAAAAAAAAAGGTACTCATTATGTTCGGGCAAATATGGTACTAAATGTGTTGAATATCAGGGATAATTGCTAAGATTTAACATAAATATGTGCACCAGATGAAGTTCATACAAACTTGTAGTAAGCCTATGTGTAATGCAATATATAGTAGCAATTATTTTTGATAAGCACATGTTATAACTGCAGATTGAGGTACAGGTAATATGGTAGTTGGTGACATAAGCAAAAATAGGGGAGACACTATAAACATCATTACAAAGGTGTAGTACCAACTACCAGGTGGTTTTACTCGTAAAACATGCACTATAAACATCATTACAAAGGTGTAGTACCAACTACCAGGTGGTTTTACTCGTAAAACATGCACTATATACATCATTACAAAGATATAGTACCAACAACCAGGGGGTTTTACTCATAAATCATGCACTATAAACATCATTACAAAAGTGTAGTACCAACTACCAGGGGGTTTTACTAGTAAAACATGCACTATAAACATCATTACAAAGGTGTAGTACCAACTACCGGGTGGTTTTACTCGTAAAACATGCACTATAAACATCATTACAAAGGTGTAGTACTATGCACTATATACATCATTACAAAGATATAGTACCAACTACTGGGTGGTTTTACTCGTAAAACATCCACTATATACATCATTACAAAGATA